ATTCTGCTGTTGCTCTTCTTTTCCACTTCTTTTTTTCCCCTAAAGGGGTTAAATAATAGAAAATGAAAAGAACAAGGGAGAGAAACCCCAGCTTATCTTCCTTTTCCCTTCCTACTCTTTCCAGTGGGAAAACAATAAAAGGTTTCTTAGTGATTTTTTTTCTTCTTTTTTTAATAACGGAATGGAACAAAAAGGCTTCAGGACACGTGTGCTTGGTTGTGGGTATGTGCACACTGCTGCAACTGGGTCTTGAAATACAGCTCTGAGCCCAAACATAAGAGAGTGGCTGTGGGCTCCACGGCAGGGCTGCGCTGATTTTCTCTGCAAAATCACTTTTCCCAATCAGCAAGACCGKGAGCTCCAACTGGAACTATGTCAGCATGAATTTTACATATTATTTATAGTTTAGTGAATTCTTAAGGAGATTATATTTTAAACCAAGCATACTATAGTGATATAATCCCTCCCCTTCACATCTGGGCATTTGGACAGCTATGGAGAGAAGAACTTTTTAGCCAGCAATTACTTGGGTACAAGTGCACCCCTGGACCCACAGGGAGGTGCTGGGAAGGTAGCAAGGGGCTGAGCAGGTACAGTGCTTGGTCACTTCTTGTTTTATAGTGCTTTGTTTTCCACCTCCAGCCAGGACATACAATGTCTCCTGGGATACAGACACAGAGGTAAAATAGATGAAGAGCTGGAAGAAATGATCATAGTGCTCTGTTAGACCAAACACAGAGCAAAGCGGTTTTTTGACATTCAACTTGGGCCAAGTTGGCAGGGAATTTTTGCATTACAATACTTTGTTTGCCTAAAGGAAAATGCGATTTTTGCAAAATCAAAGTCTTCCAGAGGGAACAGAATAGTTTCTGTTTTTATCTTCAGAAAAACCCGAGTGGAATATTTTGGGTCAGATGCAGAAATTACTGTTGAAATGATCAGCTTGGGAAAACATGTCCCCACAGTCAACTCGCTATGAAATCATCCTACTCTCACAAATACCACTATGAATACATCTGTGTCCCTAGGGACAAGCTTGGTGCCATCTCCTTACAGGTTAAAAGAGTGTCTAAGGTGGCTATGACCAGCTCTGCTTGCTGTGACCAGGTATTAAACTGGTCTCACGGCTCCTCAATATATGATCTCAGCATCCATTCATATTTTGTGAGTCCTAAAGGGAGAAGTCACACAAAAGCTGGAGATCTGAGAAGCCCATAAACTGTGCTGAATAATACATGGTGCTGGCCTCACACACATGCACTCCCTGGTGTAAATCAGAGTCACTTTGTCACTAGCTGCAGCTGGAGGCCTGATCCATAGAGGAGAAGGTAAATTCACAGCACAAAATCCAGGAAAATTAGTGTGATGGGGGACTAATACTGCATTGCCTACTTACAAATAAATCCCCGCTCAGCAGCACAAAGGTGACACTTGCAGAATTACTTACTGGCCTTTCTTCTTCCTAGCAAGAGGGTTTTGGCTTGCTCAAAAAAGGTTTTGATTTCCCTTTCATAAAGCTTGCCGAGATTCTGGGCATAGACCTGGAAAGACAATGAAGACTTCATCATCTGTCTACGAACAGCTCTCCTCTCAGCTGTTTCCACAGCTTTTTCCTCACCCCTCCACTTACAACAAAAGTTAGCAGAAGGCAGCTGAAACAGACCCGCTGGTCTTTGTGTCACACCTTTGGAAAGGCTAAAAACRGCATGAAAAATAGAAACCAAACCTCAGTGAAATGCAAAGAAGAAACCCAAACACCTAACAAACCCATGTTAACAGAGGACAAGAATATCAAGCTTCCATGGAACCRGTTAAACAAAGCAGCATTGAATAAAACTCTAGATTTACTGTGTTCATTTCACACTTAGTCTCTCTCATTTTAATTTAATCTGGGCATTTCTGTACTAAGAGAACAAATTTCAGAATTTCAGGATATTTTATTCAAAACAATGATTGCCCTGAGTCCCATTTTTAGGTGATTTATACCAAGCAGAAAGGTCCGTACCAGGTGGCCAAGCTGTCCTGATGCCCTTCTAAAAGTTCCCCATGCTGAAATTTGCAGGCATTCTGGGTTTCATGAAACAACCAGTGTGACCAATGCGTTTCTGGTGGGTGGTCCTACCTTGGGGAGATCCCCGAAGAGGAGCGGGTTGGCATTCCTCAGCCAGGCCATGAGCGGTGTGTAATGCACCAGTTCCTCGTGATGGGGTCTGTGGCTCGGAGCAACTAACTTGGCAGCTTGCTGCATGAGACCTGGAACTTGAGTGTTTCCCTTGAAGAAGTAGCAGAAAGAGTTAAACAAACCACAGTCATCCAGAGCTCTGAAAAATAATTGCCTCATAATTACCCTTGAATTCCCAGTTCTGAAAATGTTTGAGAAGCAATTACAAAGTGCAAAGAGGAACATGCATGCTCATTTTGACCTCCAAGTTTAATTCTATGTTGTGGGAAACTGTTAATTGTTTGGGAGTCCCAGTATATTGAGCATTCCAACAGGTCAGCATCATCTCCAGATTCACCGGCGAATGCAGARCTCTCCTGTAGCATGTTGGAGTTACCTCTATACTCTGCTGCTACCATCTCTGAATATASTGCTTCTGTACTGCTGCTATCATCTCTGAATATTTAAATCTTTCTGAATTTTGGCTTGGCGTGTGAAACGTGCAACCCACCTGCCGCTCCAAGATGTTTGTAATATGACCAATGAAGCTGTTTTCAAAGTTCTGCTTCAGTGTTTCAAACATGATCAGCTGCTCAGCTACTGACTGTAGTTTCCGGTAAGCTGGGGAGCAGAGGAGAGGATATCACTGCATAACGCAGCAGGCTGCTGGGCTCAAAGACCACCAGCAGCCAGCCCACGGACAAAYAGGACAGTTCTTCTAGAAGATACACTAGGACTAAAGCCCCCAGAGGGGAAAACACTTGCTGTAGAACCATACTTATAGAGACTGGGAGGCAGTTTACATTAAAAAGAATAAATAAACATTAATCTACCATGTTGAAGTGCAAATGCCCGGTTAATGTCTTCTTTTAATAAGAAAAGCTTGGAATTTGTTGTCCACATCAGGTCCCTGAACCCAAACAGCTCTCCACAGCACTGTATCCACAGTGGATACTGCTACAAAAAATTATATTTTTCCCCACATCTCAGGACAGACAACTGGGCTGTSCCCATCTATTTTCTATAGATAATCTACAGATTCACAGTTATGCCTTAAACCCAGATATTCATAGGAAGAGTTTCGAATTTAGCATAAACTTGTCTCATCTTTAACACTAACCGGACCAAGCAGTGCACCAGCCCAGAGGGAGGTGCCTACAGCTTGCTGATAGTGTGTAGGTGCACCAGCTTGGTCATTTCCTGGATAAATTGGACTTTTTTTCTAGGAATGAAGCCAGTCCCTCCCAGCTATTCTTCTCCATGGATGTACAGAGGTAATCTTACATTTGTTTTCCCACTCCTATTTGAATGTGTTGATRTAGCTGCTTAAGACTTTGAAGGCTTCAACAAGAGAATTGTCCCTGTAAGTTTGTTTTCCCACCTAACAGGGGTAGCTGGGCTGACAGCCCCGTGAGGAGCAAAAGGAGACAGGACCAAAGGAAAGGCTGTGGGCACATACATCTATAAAGAAGCTCAGACAGGGACAAAAGGCCATCACGCAGGTGATGGGAGCTGCAGGTGAAGCCGGTCAGGATCAGAAAGTTCTACAGGTGCTCTCATGGCTGAGACGAGCTTACCTTATTGTCTTCAGGAAATAAATTGAGCAGTTAACAGCATTTCATATGGGATCAGGAGAGAGAGACAAAAGGTCAGGAGAAGTCTGGAGCAGCCAGAAGTTCCAGGTAAGAGGCAGAGTCCTTCCTTGCAGCCAGTTTCCCATCCGAGAACAAGCAAGGGAGGGAGTAGCTGGCAYTTGACATCACAGCCATGGCTTAGCTTTTCAGACATATGCCTTCTACCTTTTTTTCCTGCTTTGCCTCAGGCAGCCCTCAGGACTGCCTAGGAAGTGTGTGAGGTAGCCCCTGGAAGCTGCCTGCACAAAGAYCTCCTATGTCAGTGATTCAACCTGCAAGGGCTGGGTGGTGCTGGTGCTGTGAGTGCTCCACAGCTGCCTGATGAGCCTTGCGGACAGAAATATGTGTTCTCTACTCACCAGGCTGTATCTGAACGTCCATGCAGGCAGATAAAGCTTCTGTGGCAGCAATGCAGGCCTTCACTCTGCTGGGGCTGGAAAGGTCTCCTTGGCTCAGGGCCTCACAGTGTTCCTTGCTGAGACTGAGATAGGTCTAACAACAAAGCCATAAGAGAGCAGGGATAGCRGATCCAGTTTCTTGCCCTTCCCTTCAGCTTTCCACGGGATATACAACCTCTCCAGGGCTCCTCTACAGTGCAGCAAGAATYGCTGCAATGTTTTTCTCATAAAATTGTATAATCCTGTGTGGTTTTCATCAGAACCCACTCAAACTCCCCAGTGGTTGTTCTTGCTTATGATATACTTTATTAAGCAGCTCTGTTTGCAGCACCTTTTGATCAGGAGAAGTTTTGCACGCTCTAGCTCTAATTTCCCATTAAGTTTTCAGTGTGTTTGAGGTTCAGTGAAAGCTTTTCTAATAGACTCAACAACAAATCAACGTACTGTGAGGAAGAGGATCTCATCCATCAGCTTAGTCTTGTTGGAGGTGATGCGATGTAGTAAGGAATTCTCCTGGTAGATGTGGTCCATCTGCTGCTTCACACTTCCCAGTAGCTCATCATAGACCTGCAAAGTATTCTCCACTCTGGCCACCTCTGCTAGGGCCTCATCAATGGAGTGCATCAGCTGGGTCACCTGATTCTCAGAAGAGATGATGGCCCTAAGATTGGCCTGCAAAATGGAGAAGAAAAGGGTTCCAGTACTGTACCATGGTTTTATCACCATCATCTCCCACAGGGCTGTCACAGTTCTGTACATTATGCCAGAGATCCCAAAGCTCATGCTTTCAAGTCAAAGGGGAGTTCCTGTCATTGTAACACTCATGCAGCTATTGCAGTTGCCCGTGTTCTGCATTGCTCCTGCCAAAGATCAATGTCTTCTCTTCACTTTCAGCTAAACTCCATATTGGTATAAGTCTGCAAGGTGAACGCCAGGCCCGAACAAGACCTTTCCCTGCRAGCAGAATGTATTCTCGGAGACCTTTCAATCGACATGACAGAGAGGTTACTGCTGAGCCCTCAAGTGAATCCCACCATGAGTAGAAAACAGTTTTTGTAGGATTGGAAAGYGAAGACAATCTCTGATTTCTGCACTCCTGCCCTTCTTTCTGTGTGCTGGAGAGGTACCATGAGGACAGTAGTGAAGTCTCTAACCCTTAATCTGCACAACTGGGCATGTCCTGAAAGGAATCCAGAGGGGGATCTAGTACTCATGTGTCAATCACAGGACATTTGTAATGAAATCCTCTTACCAGGTGCAGACCGTGCCAGAGGCCATAGGTGAGCTTGCTGCAGGACCGAACAGTCAACACGGGTACTGAGGCTGCTGCCAGGTCTTTGCACACTGGAGCTGCTCTGGCAGTAGGACTAATAGGCAGTTAAATTGTACATGAAACATCCACACAAACATGTCTTGAAGAAAACTGAAGATGCTATCTATTTATGAAGGTCTTGGTATTTGTTTTGAGAGATGGTAGAGATATAACTGTGTGTTAATCATTGCTGACAAGCTCCACTAGAGATTTCCAAGCATTAATCATATCATTTTCAGTGCCTAAGTGCCATGCAGGATAGTAAAGAAAATAATCAATAGACATGAGCCTGGGAGGCTTGAAGCTTCCAGTCTGCTACTTTTCTCTCTGTTAACAAAGCTTTTAAACAACTTTGCCTTTGCTGATATTTCCATTAGCTGCTGATGACTATTTTTTTTTAATGGAAAACAACAGCAGCAACAACTGTACCYTCCATAAATCCTATGAGCTCCTGATTATGTGGCAAATAACCACTAGTCACTGAGGTGGCTACCTGGTTATTTGCTATAATGATTGACGTGGTTGGTGATTTGCAGGAATGGGTTGTGATTGCTTGGAAAATCTGGCTTGAACCGAGCCCTGTGCTCTAAGTCTCCATCCCTGCAATCAGGATTCCCACAGAGTAGATGCTGGGGATCCATCCTCCCAGTGCTAACGATTTTCTCTTCTTCAGGCACACCGTGCATGGTTCCTGTGCTGGTAGACCCTCACAAGACGATATCTGCACTGGCCTTAGGTGACATCCCTGGGCAAGGACTGGACCAGGAGAGGTGCTATTGGAGCTCTGAGAGCCACTCTGCAGCCTCAACCCAACCTGGCCACTCTGGACTTTCTGCCAAAGAGCAGTGGCACTTTAGGAAGGACATTGCTGAAAGCATAGCAGAAAGGACTGGGGACAGTGGTTTCTGCCATAGACTGGCAGATTCACAGGAGGTCTGGAAAGATCAGAAGAAATCTATAGAAAAGGGAAGCCTAAAATCAGGCAAACACTTGGATCCCGATGGAAAGGTGGGTACAGGGAGCACAGATTTTCTGCAGGAGCACAGGAGGGAAGACAGCACTCTTACCTCCTGTAAGATCATCAGTGGGGTTTGCTGCTGGGCTTGCTGATCCAGGCATACACTTATTTCAACAAGCTATAATGACATTAAGTAAAGGTCCCTTTTGCTCAGAGCTCGCTCAGCTCCATGGAAGGCCACTGCAAGCTACAGTCCAGGTGCAGACCCCTCTGCTCCTTCGAGCCTCGTGCCAGGACTCCGGCCGGTGACCACAGCCTCAGCCAGGAGCTCTGCACATTATGAAGCACTGCTAAATCACAGCCATGAACATCCCACAGGCCCATCGCCGCCGTGCCTCCAGATGGTCTTATTAGGGCTGGACGGAGCCGCAGGGGTTGCCACGAGCTCATGAAATCATCAGGGCCGTGCTGGGCGGAAAGTGCTCCCCGGAGAACCCCRTGAGGGTAACGACTCTGCTGCCAGGCACCATGCAAAGCTGCAGAAACCTGCGTGCATTTCGGCAGACACCAGCCAACGGGAAGGACACAGGAATACCAATGTGAAAATCAGCAAAAGGCCACGCTTTTCCCCAATCCGGAGCAAATCAGCCCTTGCTCACTGCTTGCAGAAAGGTTTTGCAAGCCCCAGAGGAGCTCACTTAGCAGAGGCTTATTAGTGTTTTGAATAAGAGCAAGGTGCTATCGCTGTGATGTCCTGGGAAACAGTTAAATATATGCGCGTCCTCGTCTAACATGTTAGCATTAATAACACTTAATATCCGAGATTAATCTTCAGAAATAGAAATGTCCCATTAATTAATTTAGGTTAGCAGTAAGTGACGTTCATTCTTTAGAGAGCATTAAAACAATGTGTCTGACAGCACCTTTCATCTCAAAAAATGTAAAAGARATTTATTGTTTACCCCTATAGGCTGTTTTACAGCTTGGAAACTGAGTGCCCAAATGATTTGCTGAGAGCAAGCAGTAAGTCTCCTTCCAAAACRATGTCAGGAGTTCTGCTTTTCAGCTTAGACACTATATGTCTAAATGTATATAAAAATATATTTTGGCAAATAAAGCAAATTTTGGCCCTGATGGAGGGCCAAATGCAGAATTTACRTTTCTAGTACATTTTAGGGTATTTTCTCTGGGTTATTTTTGCSCTTAGTTCTTCAGTGTCCTAACTAYGAAATCCTAACRCCAGTTATACAGAACATAGATGCTCAAAACAGATTTCTCATTATTTTGTTCCACAAGTCAAAGAAAGAAATTACCTAATATGACATTCCAGAAAAAATATCAGAAATGTGGCAACTTCATTAAAAGGAAGAGAGCTCTCTGGTCYGAAAAGAATGTCTTCTTTCCCCATTGTCCCTTTCTATCTCATTTCTTCCCCGGTTCTGTCTCATTTTTGCTGTATTCTTCCTCTTCATTTTCTTCCAATGTTTGTACTTAACCTGCTTCTGAGCATCCCTCTCTCTTCCTCTCCTTCCAGAGATTTGTCACTTCCCTGCCATCTCCCATATCAGAGGCTCTGATGTCCATGTACACACTAGTAACCATACCCCATCCTATACCTGGCTCCGTGACATTGCTTTTGCTTTCACTTCTTTTTTGCAAAGCTACCTGAGATGCCTACAGCTGAGTCAGTGAGTCTCTATATTCCCTCTGCAGTCACTGGAAAGAGGCCGCTCAAGCCAGTGTCCAAGGACAGGTAAGCTCAGCAGGGAGAGAAGTCCTGGTGTTCGGCTGCCAGGCTGCAGGATTTGTTTGCCAAAGCACGGCAATTTCAGGAGGCACCTGGGCTTGCTAGGATGGCTGTGCCTGGGTAGTATCTCCCCCAAATCCCAGGACTGGATACAACAGAGCTTCACCAATGTTGGTCTGATATCCTATAGTTGCTTATTCTCCTTCTCTGCAATACAGGTGCTGTATTTTCCTGCTGGGAGCTGCATGCTGCAGCAGAGGTGCCTTTGAAATCCTCGGTCAAGAAGAATGTCTTCTGTATCAGGTGTGCAGGGCTCTGATAGCAGGACCCTGGCAGGTGAGATGCCTTTTGAGCTGAAATTTTGCATTGTCAGGATGACTTTCTCTGGGAGTAAATGTAAGCACAAGACCTTCTGACAACTATTGACCCAAACCAGGTCCCCTTTTATGCCAGACAACTTTGTTGCTGTTGAATCACGACCTTGATGCCCTTACCTCATCCAGYACATGGAGATCACTGCTTAGCTGCTCTGCAAAGGCCACCGAGTTGTTCACGATGGGCTCGTACTGCTCCATCAGCCTCAGCATGTCAGCTGCTTCCTTTGGGCTCATCTCCTGGTACGCACTGAGCCCCTCTGGGCTTCCAGTCTCCACAGTGTCCTTATGGTCTTCTTGGTGCCCTTGTCTCCCTGTGAGGACAGAGTGAGGGACAGAGATGGTCACAGACTTCTAGTTATTTCCTTTTACTGGCCCTGCTATGCCCGGTGTCTCATCAAGCTCAGTTTGCGGTGACAAGTGTAGTGAGACCAGCAGTCTCTGCCTGCTGATCAGCTAGGATAAAATCATGGCATGCTGCAAGCAGGACAGACATATGGATGGGACAAAGAGTTATCTTTGTAAGGGATGCAAAATGGACATCTGATTTGAGTTCTGGCTGTGTTTTCACTTGCTGACCTCTCCAAGTGCATGACACATTTACATGTTTGCAAAACAGAGACAAATTTCAGAGATGAGCAATCAAATCTGATTCCAGTCAAATATACTGAATAGGATGTAAAAAAAAAAAAAGCCCCCTCTGAGAAACAGTGACAGGAAACATAACATTACCTTCTGCTGTGCAGGAGGGGACATTCACAAAAGTGACACTACTGGARAGGAATCGGTGGTTCAGCTTCCACAGGCATCTGATAAAAGCTTTCTTCTCATCCAACCTGCTAGCAGTCCACTTGTAAACCTTATCAAAGTGCAGATCAAAATCCAGGCTGGCCTGGATGACGACAGTTAATTACCTCAACAATTAGAAGGCATTTGCCACAGCCCATATACTTATCAGGGTTTGCAGCCCATTTYAACAGTAGCCACCAAAACAACTTGTTCAGGAGAAAATGTGCTGTAAGGTTGAAGGAGGTGGAAGGAACTAATCAACATCTCCATACTACACTTTTAAGCTTTGGGATTTTGAGGAGCCCAGCGAGGACGTGTTGGAAATGGGGACTGAGCCAGGCTCCAGTTGTTACAGGAGAGTCAGCAGGGCTAGTCACAAGAAAGGGAGGCCACGCCAGCGAAGATGCTCAAGTTGAGACCCTGATAACTCGTATTTTCCTTCTCATGTCACTGCCTTTCCTCCTCTCACTCGCCTGCCCACATCATATCCAGAACCACACTGGTGCTGGTGGAGCTGCACAGGTACAGTCAGGCCCAGATCTGCCGGAGAGCTCAAATGAGCTGGTGTCCTCAGCAGCCCCAGGGACACCAGGTATGATGGACACCAGCTGTCCTATGCCCAGTGTAATTGATGGCAAGCGTTCGATCAAATTTCTTTCAAACAATGAATCCCCTGACATSCTTTGTACTTCCCAGCTGACAGCAGATGATTTCCCTAGTCAACAGATGCTGTTTCTTTGTGTTTCTTTCCTATAAAGACCCCTTTCCCTTGACTGCTGTCTCAGGGCAACTGAMTAGGATTTGAGAAGGGTGCCCATGGCACTTGGCACGTAGTGATAGGGATGATAGAGGCACTGAAAATAAAAGGATATCAAGAAATTTGGCCACTAGAAGTCRACAGCCGAACACCCATAGTGGGTCAGACCAAGCAATCAACTAGTTCAAATATCTTGTTCCACTACGCTGGGTTATTTCCAAATTATATAGATTTCTCACCTTCTGCTGCAGGTTTTGATAAATGAACACTGATCAATTCCAATAGTGGCAGATGCTTGGGAGAAAAGCATTCAAAGGGCAAACCCACACTTACACAGCCCTCAGGATTCCCTGCCAGCTCCCAGCAGCCTGTGACCTGGCAGCTTGCTGAGCCAGAGGTTATATCTTCTGCACTCTGATCAACAGCCTTAGAAGGACACACTGTCCCTGGTTTCATCTAATGGTTTTTGATCCTATACAGACAGCACCTTGTGGCAATAATCTGTGCAGTTTAACGATGTGCTGAATGAGGAAGCTCCAAGCATTTAGAGTTATGCATGCAGAGCAAGCCCAGCACTCACTCTGCCTGACGCTGCAGAAGTTCACTTCTGCAACCTCATCCAACCTGGAATCTCAAACCCTTTTTCACCCAAGAACTGAGAACTTCCAGAGAAAACCCAGGAAGAGAAGCTGTCCTGACATTGTCCCATAGCACTATGGTCACCTGAGGGAATAGAAGCAAGGCCTCAAAAAAGAGTGCCCTCGGCATTTCCCTACACTCTTTTACATTTAATTTACATTTTTATGCATTAATATCCATATATCTATGCCCAAAGGATGTGGTCCCATGGAASGGAACTCCAGCAGGGAGGCCTGCGATTTACCACTAACTGGTATGTGTGTATGGAGAGAATAAGGCAGGCTGCTGAACAAGGAACTTCTCATGGAAAGAAATTTCTTCTTGCACCATCTCATTAGCAATGCAGCATAGCCTGATCTTATTTTCTAAAGAACTTAGATGCTGCACTTCTTATTATTGATGCTAATCATAACAACAGACACAGAATTTTTGTGTGTTTGTGAAGTCCTACAATGCTTTGAGGCTTGTTTTCTAAACACCTTAAAGCAAAACATCTCACCCCCACGCTGCTTTGCAGGCTTAGTAGCAGC